GTATAGCTTCCCTGCAAAAAAAAGTTAAACAGGAGTAGAATCTATTTGAAGACTATCTACGTATTTTCCAAATTAATTTTTTTGAAACCCTCGTATAAAAATCTAAATTCAAAAACATTAATTTAAATGTTTATTACATTTCTTGTGATGTATCTTTCAAGACTAATTCCTCTTTAGTAACAGTTTTTTTATCCGTCTGTTTTTTTGCTTGTTCCATTTTTATTTTTTCTCGAACTTCCTTAGACTTTTTCAATTCTGGTTTTTTCTTTTTGGGCACTTTTTCGGACACTTTTTCTTTTTCATCTTCAATTAATGTTGGTCGTTCTCCTGTAGCATCTATTATGAACGAAAAAATCTTGTATTAATTTCACATCAATCTCGTTGCATTTATGATCAAAATAAAATGTTTTTAAATATGTCAGAAGCATACAACCTGTCACTTGTAATTGGGCTTTAGTTGTAGCTAAACCTATATCACTCGTAGCTTTGCAAATGTATGTAGCAGAATCTTCATGAGTAGCTTCTTTTATGACTAATGATGTTTTGAATTCCCGATCATTGATTTTAATTTTAATATTGTCTGTGTTCCGCATCATTTTATCATTTTTAAACCATACGATATCTAAAACAGTTTATGATTTATAAAATCAACAGCTTAATTAATTTTTTTAAATTTACTGAAACAATAGCGGTTCTCAGGCATTTACCAGGTGTAGGATTTCCAGAATATTTACATTCAAGTTCAACGGTTTCTCCCTCTTGAACGTAAGTATCAGTAAATTCCTGAATAAACCTAGGTATTGATTGGGTAGCTGTAGTAAAAAAATAAGTACTGTTATTATGGTCTAAAATGTTTTCCTGTATATTATTCTAATATGGCATAAATTTCGTAATTTGCAAAACCGTGATAAAAGCTCAAATGGATTTATATTACTTAACGTCAAGAACCTTACTACTCATGTATTTTGATCGTGATAAATAGAATACTGAGGAACTCGACTAAAATTATTCCAATTCGAATTTCAAGTCATTAATCTCACGATTAATGTCATCGTACTTTGAAGTTAGTATACGTAATTCATGGACATATTATGTTAAATTCTAATTAAAGTCATTTTTATGGTTATTTTTAAAAACTTTTTGGATACGCGCATTTTCTTGTTCTAAACATTAAAAATGAAGATCATAAATATGTAACTTTCAACGCAAATACCCGTATCAAGATACTAGCCAAGAACTGGAATATCATAGAATAGGCTGTGTGATAGCCGTAATTTTTTAAATCAATCAACTAATACATAAAAAATTCTGTCTTATAGAGGATAAAAAACGCAACTTTTTGTTAATGAACAATTTTTTAATTCAAGTATTAGTTAATAAGACAAAAACTAGAAATCAGAAATCATCTGCAGCTTGAAATCTACGGTTTTTAAACTTAAATTGTTGTATACCGATGAAAAATGCACTAATCGATGCAAAAAAATTTTTATCATCACACACGCACCATCGTCCCTAGGACTATGTCAGGGTTGTTGTATAGTCCCAGTTGGATGGCGCTTATGTGACATTCTGCTTTTCTTACAGAGAGTACCAAAAAAGGTCATGAGGTAGAAAAAAATTGTACACGAGTATTGACTCCTTACTGCAAAAATCTCCCTATAAGTACTAATGAGTTTATTAAAAAAAATTCATCTATTGTAAAAATTTTTGATGTTAAATAACCATTGAAATAGTAAATGACAAAGCAACACATGAGCTTGATTTTAAAAGTTGAAATAATAGACTTGGAAGTATGTTAACTGTATGATTTTAAAAGAACAGATTACACTAGATGTTTGTTTTTAATGTAAAACAATTTTTGATAATTTTTCTTTTTAGGACTACTTATACCCGTATATTAAGTACGTTTGGAATAACGTATTTATAGGGCGTAATTAAATAATATTAATTTTCAGTTTAAAAAGTAGTACTTTGAACATATGAACCTTTATAACATAACCATAAGATAATTATTCAGAGTAAAATAATTTTTTACCTCTATTGCTTCTGCGACTTCCCATGCACGTGGTCGGAAATCTTCTGGTTTAAAATGTGTTATGACTTCTTCAACAGTCGCATGTTGTAGTTCTACCATTTTCATAAAAGCTCTGAATCCAACTGTTGCAGCAACAATACTTTCATCTGTGGTCGTTTCTTCGGTAAGAACTTGAGTAATTAATGGTCCGTGACCTTGTCTTTCAACTAGTTGCACCAAAGCATTTTGTGCGTCTGGAGTTTTCAATGCTGGAAACTTGTCCGTTTTGTATAAGCTTTCATTAATTTCGTGGACTGTAACTCCTTGCCGTACTAAGTAGCCAATAGTTGCTAATTCACGAAGAGGTTGTTCTGCTGGTCCAAATTCCGATGCATGAAATAGTTCCATGATTTCTTCCACTTCCTGAGCAATACTCTCCTGTTGTCCTTCTATAATTAGTCTTACGTCGACTTTACTCAAAAGTTCTTTTTGAGTTACTTTTATTTTTTCAGGCTTTTTCTTTTTCTTTCTAGTTTCCCGCAAATCAGTTTCTGTATAAATTTCCGATACAGATTCTAATGTTTCAGATGTTACTTGGGCCTGATCCCGAGTTAGGTCTTGTGGTTCATGATCAGTTTTTTTCATACTTGATGTCACTTCTACTGTTATCGCTTCATGCGTTGGAACTACCATCTGGCCTCTCGATAGCTTAAAAAAAATTGTTATAATGTGCTTTATAACTTAAGAGATCCGTAAAGTAAGGTATTAGAGCATGAGGAAGTATTTTAAAACAGATATGTAACTAGGTATAGGATTTCTCAATTTTTCCAGTAAAAAATGTTTCATAAAACGGAATAAATTCTTACATCTACGTATACGTATACACGATATGTGTGTACGTATACAATCATGAAATTAGCTCTTAATGCTAAACTTTGATTCTGATTCATCTATTCTTTTTATTTGGTTAAGATTTAACTAACTGCACACGTGGCCCCAACACACGCAGCCATGAACATACAAAAACCAATTCCTACCTTCGTAGCTTCCTCTTCTACCAATTCTACAGTTTCCAATAACTGAGTATCTTGAACATGTATAGCTTCCCTGCAAAAAAAAGTTAAACAGGAGTAGAATCTATTTGAAGACTATCTACGTATTTTCCAAATTAATTTTTTTGAAACCCTCGTATAAAAATCTAAATTCAAAAACATTAATTTAAATGTTTATTACATTTCTTGTGATGTATCTTTCAAGACTAATTCCTCTTTAGTAACAGTTTTTTTATCCGTCTGTTTTTTTGCTTGTTCCATTTTTATTTTTTCTCGAACTTCCTTAGACTTTTTCAATTCTGGTTTTTTCTTTTTGGGCACTTTTTCGGACACTTTTTCTTTTTCATCTTCAATTAATGTTGGTCGTTCTCCTGTAGCATCTATTATGAACGAAAAAATCTTGTATTAATTTCACATCAATCTCGTTGCATTTATGATCAAAATAAAATGTTTTTAAATATGTCAGAAGCATACAACCTGTCACTTGTAATTGGGCTTTAGTTGTAGCTAAACCTATATCACTCGTAGCTTTGCAAATGTATGTAGCAGAATCTTCATGAGTAGCTTCTTTTATGACTAATGATGTTTTGAATTCCCGATCATCGATTTTAATTTTAATATTGTCTGTGTTCCGCATCATTTTATCATTTTTAAACCATACGATATCTAAAACAGTTTATGATTTATAAAATCAACAGCTTAATTAATTTTTTTAAATTTACTGAAACAATAGCGGTTCTCAGGCATTTACCAGGTGTAGGATTTCCAGAATATTTACATTCAAGTTCAACGGTTTCTCCCTCTTGAACGTAAGTATCAGTAAATTCCTGAATAAACCTAGGTATTGATTGGGTAGCTGTAGTAAAAAAATAAGTACTGTTATTATGGTCTAAAATGTTTTCCTGTATATTATTCTAATATGGCATAAATTTCGTAATTTGCAAAACCGTGATAAAAGCTCAAATGGATTTATATTACTTAACGTCAAGAACCTTACTACTCATGTATTTTGATCGTGATAAATAGAATACTGAGGAACTCGACTAAAATTATTCCAATTCGAATTTCAAGTCATTAATCTCACGATTAATGTCATCGTACTTTGAAGTTAGTATACGTAATTCATGGACATATTATGTTAAATTCTAATTAAAGTCATTTTTATGGTTATTTTTAAAAACTTTTTGGATACGCGCATTTTCTTGTTCTAAACATTAAAAATGAAGATCATAAATATGTAACTTTCAACGCAAATACCCGTATCAAGATACTAGCCAAGAACTGGAATATCATAGAATAGGCTGTGTGATAGCCGTAATTTTTTAAATCAATCAACTAATACATAAAAAATTCTGTCTTATAGAGGATAAAAAACGCAACTTTTTGTTAATGAACAATTTTTTAATTCAAGTATTAGTTAATAAGACAAAAACTAGAAATCAGAAATCATCTGCAGCTTGAAATCTACGGTTTTTAAACTTAAATTGTTGTATACCGATGAAAAATGCACTAATCGATGCAAAAAAATTTTTATCATCACACACGCACCATCGTCCCTAGGACTATGTCAGGGTTGTTGTATAGTCCCAGTTGGATGGCGCTTATGTGACATTCTGCTTTTCTTACAGAGAGTACCAAAAAAGGTCATGAGGTAGAAAAAAATTGTACACGAGTATTGACTCCTTACTGCAAAAATCTCCCTATAAGTACTAATGAGTTTATTAAAAAAAATTCATCTATTGTAATATTAGATGTTTAAAATTTTTTAAAGAAATAAATGTATGAAACGACATGAATCTACTATAAATTAGATGTGTTTCAATTGAACACAGGTATATGATTATGATACTTATTAATACAAATATCTTTTTTATTTTTTTGAATATGCCTCCATTGTATAATTTACACGTACTACAGAACATAAAAATTACTTGCGATGGCCAATTTACTCAGTACGAAAAGAATTTTTTTAACAGAGTCAATGGTTTCTGTCGTTATATAAGTTCCATCTGATGGAACTGCTTGTAGTGGGTCAAAGTGTATTGCAACTTTAGATGTAGACATACATGCTATGAGTCGAAACCGCCGTGAGGCTCGGACTCTTGTCCTTTAACCAGAATTATTCGATATGATCTCATCCAAACACATAAGTGTGTATGCATTATTACAACTTATTTTAGTTTTCATGCTTACCTCGAAGGGCTTCTTGCATTTCTTCCATTTGTGTGACCCACTCAGGTTTTCGATATTGTTTAGTTCCAATGATTCCTATTAGATAGATTATTAAAAAACGTATGTTTTACAGTCATCACTCATTAAATTTTATATGTATACATGTACACACACGTGTATAAATAATATCTGTGAACTAATCATTTGTGTTAATAAAGTGTTGGTTTTGATGGGAGGAAGCGGATTAAAGGAAGATGAGCAGTTTTGTTAATGTGCAGACGAGGTCAGTTGATATTGCTGAAAATAACTTCCATAACGGAAAAAAATATTTTATTTCTAATAATTTTATGCAATCACATAGTATAAATAAATTTTGCATAATTGATTACCTTCCACAGTCAAATATGTAGTCGTCGTCGATACACCTAAGGGATTATGTGCTTTAAAAGTGATCTCACCAGTGTCATCTGGATAAGTTTCGGTAATGGTAAGAACATGTGTACCGTCTTCTATTTCCTCTATTTGGAATTCATTGGATTGTTGTACTTCTATATCTTGTTTATACCATTTGCCATCAGGCTTAGGCTTTCCTTTGACTTTTACTTCCAATCTTGAATATTAAAATGTCATTAGATTTAAGTGATTTGTTTGATTTGTATTATTAATATCTTTGTTCTGTTGCATTTAAATACTAAGAATAAGAATTTGCAAACACAATAAACATCGTTCTACCGTTTTTTATTTTTAAGTAATTTATATGTTAGTATTTTACAAAACGTATTTGTCAAAACATTTATCAGATACTAAAAAAGTCCTTATCAAATCTCATGTTATTGATTTAATTGGCTGATATAAACATTGATCGTAAAATCATAATTTGATCATACTGTTAAATTCGCAGTGTTGCTGGTAAATATCATTACAACATTTTATACTGCTCAATCACAGTGTAATAGTTGTTTTATTAATGTGCATAAATTTAAATTGTGCCCCATGAAAAATTCCGTACCTTGTTAATACGCCATCCTTGGTTGATATCAACTGTGGAAGTTCCTTAATAATTTCTGGAGCAAATTCTTCCGTGTCAGATTCCGATGGTACTTCCTAATTATAATAAAAAGTTTTACTCAGCTACTTATTTAGATTAAACTGTTAAACGTTTATGAATTCCTTCTTATTTATGTTAACTGAAATCATGAATAATTTACGTATATCAGTTAATTTGTGTTAACGTCAATTTATAAGAATTATTATATTACTTATTACATGCATTTGATGCCACATTGAATTATTTAAATGGAAGAAAAAAATAAACGATGTAAGAGTACCGTTTTTTTTGTACATAAATTTCGTATCTCTGATTTAGATTATTCAAAGTAGACTTAAAATGTCAGCTTGGTGTGCATTATTTGTTTGCATAAAATTTATTTCAATATTGATGTACAGAGTTAATCTAATTATCTATTTAAGTGAAGAGTTAAATAATTATATATTTTTTCTAAACATACTTGTGTAAGTGTGGTGATAGTCGAGAAGTTGTATATAAATTATAGAATAATGCAAATTCGAAGGTGAAACATATTTACCTTAGGTGATAATAAGTCTTCTTCAGATTCACTTTGTCCTGTCAGTGATGCCGCTACAGCTGATGATGATATTTCTGAGTCGGGAATGTATTCATAAGCTAAAATAATATGATTTATGTGAATTAACTTTTAGTTCGATTTTTTGATTTTTTCCATCCTAGGGTACTAAATTTTTCACAAATTTACTCTATTGAAACAATTATTGTAGTATACTAGTTAAGAGGGCTGGCTAATTAAGAGGTATACTTAAGAATAGGACAAGAGAAGATTGTTACGGACTTATTGAACTTATTATAATGAAGCTTTATAATAGGTAAAATCATTACCTCTCACAGACAATTTTTTTTTTTTAATTTTCAAGAAATATTATGACTTAGTAAAGAGATTGAGAATTTGTAAAGTATAATAATTTCTTACTTCCATATTTAGATCTAAGTTAATAAATCAACAACCATATATTCATTCTGATCTTTCTGTAAGCTTGACATTTTAAAAACTACTAAACGACTGTACAATGACTATCTAGATACTAACACTAACTAATGAATGACTAGATAACCACCCCAAAATATAATTCTAACTTTCTAACCGTACATATAAGACATATTTTAATTTTTTTGTTGTTTAAATGGTTTACAAATATAGATTTTTTTTTTTTTTTTTTTTTATATTATAGTGCTCTACGTCCGGCTCCTTTTAATAAGGGCACTACTATGGGCACTTAGCACTTGGGAGAAGGAAGGGAAGAGGGATGGGAGGCCTCACAATACTGGAAGGGGGGGGTAGGGGGAAATTAGGCAATTTTGCTGCGAGAAGGTCGCCTAAACCCTCCTCGAGGAGCATTGCGTGGTGAAAAAGCACATGTGAACAATCACAGAGGTACTTGCCCGAAAAGTCGCACTGGCCGGGAATTGAACCACGGTCTCCCGCGTGCCAATCCACGACCTAGCCGACTGAGCCACCGCGCGCTACAAATATAGATATTCTTTCACTTAATGTTTGTAAAATTTTAACAATATTTAACTAATGTTTAAAAATACTACCGATATTATTTTTAGATTGTGAAACTTGTATTTGTTCGTGAAGACATGCAAAATGAAATTTATACTAACCATACAAAAATTATAAACGTAATCTTACCTTCAACTTCTAAAGACGTCGTGCATGTAGCTGTACCTATTTGATTGACAGCTTGACATATATATTCGCCAGCATCTTCAGGAAATACTTCACTGATAGCGAGATTACACACACCCTCTGTATCTTGTAAGATTGTGATTTGTTTTCCTTCTTTAATAGGTTTATTATCATGGAACCATTCAACTTTTGGAATTGGTTTACCGTGTACTGTACACTTTAAATTGACACTTTCACCATCCATAACGCGAATGGGAGAAAGTTTTTTCACGAAAGAAGGTGATACAAATTCTACAGTCTCTTGCCATGGTATTTCTAGGATATCCACACTAGCTGAGCTTGTTACTGACCCAGCAACATTTTCAGCTCGTATGGTGTATCTTCCAGCGAATTCAGGTTTTACTTCTTTGATCATTAAAACAGACTTGTTTTCTTTTGTTGTAATGCGTATTTCATGAGACGACTGAAAACGTTTTTATTTTTATTTATTATAAAAATATTTATGTTACGATATATTTTTTGTCATTTTTCCTTAAAATTATACTATGATTATTTGTATATTCTATGATAGTATAGAGGATATGATAAGTATAGAGGAGCTCGTCGTTGGCTTAGTTAGTTAGCGTACTAGCCATTGAAACAACATAGCTCAATGGGTCGTGGTTTCGATTACCCGTCGGGGCACTCAGATTTTTTCTGATGCTTTTTGACAGGTTTCGAATACATAACATTGACTTAGGATAAGGCTTCAATACTAAGATGAAAATAAAAAAATAAGCGATTAAAGTAAAATATAGAATTGTTGATGTGTTCTAGATAACCGGTCATGCGTGACCGGGGATATATATAAATGTACATCTTATATAT